AAGAAGAAGAAGAAGAAGAAGAAGAAGAAGAAGAAAAAGAAGAAGAAGAAGAAGAAGAAGAAGAAGGAGAATGGGCAGGAAGAGGAGAAGGAGCAGGAGAACGAACATGAGGAGGAAAAGGAGCAAGGAGAAGAAGCAGTAGAAAGAACTGTCGCTCATGCTTTTCTAAGAAATACAACGACTTTCAGCAGAACCAGTGAAAGGGAAGGAAACAATTTTTTAAAAAAAACATGTTTCAATTTCAAGTGTATCATATCTTCCCTTCTTTCCCCAGAAAAAGCTGTACACCTTCACTGACGCTTACAAAGTGAACGACATGAGCGTGGCGTCACTGAGGTCCATATTTGACAAAATGAAGGCAGAAAACAGCGCAGAAGGCCAGAAATATTGCAACTTTCATCTCGTTAGTGAGTTAGACAAGCCTTGCACATCCGAGATGAGGGCTACCATCCAGTGCGCTGGTATCCACCCGTATCTGGAAAAGGTCAAAACGTGTGCTAGGGCACTTTACTTCAACACTGCTACTAGGTTGGGCACTGGTCCCTGCTCAATCCTCACAGCTGCCCTAGCGTTATCCCTCACATTCCTACTGTCGTTCATGTGATTTTAAGACTGCGGGTCTCAACCCTGCTGCTACATGCATCACTATACCTTGCTTGGCTTGAGATTTGTCAAAAATAATTACATTCCATGCCTCTCAAATCTATACAATATTCCGTAATTCTATCAAACCAAAATGTGTTCTTTAGGTTTATTATTTTATTATATAGTTTATAAGATTTATCCTGGGTTTACATTGTATTTACCAAAACATACCAAACGTTGATAGATACATAACTGTTGTGCCATGATTCAATTAGAACGGTATATTAACATTTTATGCATCAGTTCTCATCTGTAATGTTACAGGGTTTTTCCTGATTGTTGTAAAGTACGTCTTTTCCAAAGAAATACATTTGAAATGGGCAAAATTTTGATCGTTAAGACCGAGGTTGTAGGAAACATATTCTAGAGAACATTACAGAAAAAACATTAGGGAGAAAAATCTTGAATGTTTTTACTGTGTGTGTATTTTTAAAATCATTTTTCAGCGAGTGCGCCCACGAGTGTTATTTGCTTAGATCGATTATAACAGACTAATGATGATTCCACGAGCCCTCCACAGTGATGAAGGCACCCTTGTGGTATACCGGGATATGATCTTTCTCACAAAGGTTTATGGTTCGAATCCAATTTGGGTCAGAATTACTTGTTTTCTGGCTTCATGGAATAAATTTTCTCAATCCAGGGTCCTGGAAAGGGGCTGGCTGTGTGGGATATACCAAGTGAGCTGCCATCGAAATGACCTGCGTTATGTCTTGTAGGGCCTTTAGTTAATGTTCAACAACACTGCATAGGCCTACAACAATAACAACAACAACAGCAACAACAACAGCAACAACAACAGCAACAACAACAAAACAACAACAACAGTAGCAAAAGCAACAACAGCAACACACAAGAACAATAATAGTTGCAGCAGAAGCAGCAGCAGTAGCAGCAGTAGCAGCAGTAGCAGCAGTAACAGCAGTAGTTGCAACAACAACAACAACAGCAACAAACAAAAACAAAAACAGTGGCAGCAGCAGAAACAACAGAAACAAACATGAACAATAAGAGCTGCAGCAGAAGCAGCAGCAACAACAACAACAACAACAACAACAACAACAACAACAACAACAACAACGACAACAACAGCAACAACAACAACAGCAACAGTAACAAAGACCAACAACAGCAACAGTGGCAAAGGTGTTCATAAATATGTGTATTGTCGCGTCAACGTGTACTGATTATCATGTTTGATTGAATGCCTGTTTATATGTTTGCCTTATTTAGCCTTGATCAACCCCACAATCACGAATTATAATTGTTCTCTTTTAACATTGCTGAATAGCTGTGATTTCTGAAGTTTGCCTCCGAAATTTGCTGCTGCAATGAAATCATGTTTACTCAGAGTATACTTTTTGCATTCTCAGTTCCTTCTCCCTGCTTGCAAAAAACAAAAGTACGCTCATCGTATTTCATCTGTCACTCACACTTTGAATGCGTTCGCAGTCATGATGGAATGTAATTTTGAGCAATTGATTTATAAAGTATTCTTTTCTAAATAAAAGTTTTTACCACAAAGAAGAGTTACTTGATTTTAATATCATTATCATTATCATTGTATTGACTGTTGTTTTTCCCCCTTAAATTTACATTAGACTACATGATAAATATGATGGCGCATTGTCATTCAAGCATTTGTGACATAGAGTGGCCTTCATCATCAATGCCTTTCACCCCTGGCAGGGTATAGGCCACATACAAGCTCCTTCCATTTATCTCGGTCCTGAGGCTTGTACATAATTCTTTTCTCAACAAGAAGCCACTGCAGTGTCCGTTTAAAAGTGTAGCAGATTCTCGCGTTCTTGTCTGTAAGACTAAATGTGCAGCATAGTTTTTGGACAGTTTGAAGTCTTTTCACTTTCTCCACCGATATTCCCGGTAATACATAACACACTGTATTTAAGTTTTTGCCCTTTTCAATCATTCCACATGTGTTTACCTCTCCCAACGTTTTTTGCAGTTCGCCTTTTTCGAGCCATCTTGAGCTGAGCGTGACTTTTCTTTTGAGCCTGTTTGACAGAGGGTTTTTTTTATAGAGTAATTTTGATCGTTCTGCTTCGCATGCCTTCACTGCACGTCCTCTACGGTAAACTTCTTTCCGTAGTTGAAAAAAACAACATTTCAATTAAAATTGTTTTGATCGTCTCGCACCATTTCGCTTTCTGTGTAGCTGTGCTGTTGTATAACGCGCCTTTTTTGTCCCGTGTCCTGATTTGGTGCCGAATATTGGTAAAAAAAAAAAAAAATAGAATTCGTTGATGTCGTACATATGTAGTTTCTGTTAGAGTGAGCTTGTTCAGAACAACAAAAAGGAGACACATAAGCGAACCGACTCAACCCCCCCAAAAAAAAATAA